GAGTTTTAATTTTTTTTTTTTTCAAAGCATTAAACTTTATCGACTTTTTGGATTTTTTTCGGCGTAATTTTGTAAACTTTTTCCTTTTCTGCAATTCGTACTATTGAAAAGTTACTCAGAACTGCCTTAATTTTAATTTTTTTTTTTCAAAATGTAACCTTTTCTTCTTTTAAGAAAATTTTTTTTCGTAATTTTGCAGAACTTTCTATTTCCTTCTCAGGAACTTTAGAACTACTAAGAATAGTTTTCGTTTTTATTTTTTCAAAAATGTTAATTTCTCGAAAAAAACCGTTTTTTTGGCGTGTCCTGTAATCCTGTACAATCCTGTAGCGCCTTGTTTGAAAGTGTGATTTATATGGTTTATGTTAAAACATGAACCAAATTTTTATAAAAAATAAAAAAAAAATTTTGCTTGAAAGAGACGCTTTCTCAACTAACCTTTAATTTAAAGCTCACTTTATATTTAAAAGTTGCTTTAAAATATATAGCTATTTCTAAAGTAAAGAATTTATATTATCGGGTTCTGACGTTTGTATGTTTCTTGGTTGTAAACCAATTTAAAACCGAAAATAAAATGCTTTACTTTAGACACAACCATAAATTTAAAGTAACCTTTAAATATAAAGTAAGCTTTAAAGTTAAAGGTTACTTGAGAAAACGGCCCTAAATATTAAAAACAAAACACCACAAAAACAGAAGTTAACTTTTGACAGCCTACGTATGTATGTATAAGCGCTTATAATAATTTTTGTCATGCTTTTTAAATTCAGCCCTAGTAATCATATTCTTGTACGGTGGAAGCTTTTTTCTGTATAGTACTATAACTTACTATAGCGTAAAATAGCACAATAAATGGAAGTTGATTTGATTTTTTGTACCATAAGGCTTAAAATAAACGAAGAAAAATTTTAAATATTCATCGACATTCGAGTGACTAAAGCAAGACAACTGATATGACAAAAAAGTTTAAGTTTTGTGTTTTGAATCCATGTAAATTGCAAAATAATTATTTTGGCAGCAGACCTAAGGCCAGTCAGTGCAAGCAAGCCTAATTTGTAAGCGAGTTTTTATACTAGCGCCTGTTTCACCCAACCGCCAGACTCACGAAGCTTGATCCATTATCTCATATACATACATACATACATACATGTTTATATGAGTGTAAGCATGTGAATATGGCAAATAACAATGATGACTTAAAATATTTTTATTTTAAGCTCATTGGCAATCCATATATGTATGTATGTAGGTGCATAGTATCAAATAATAAAAATTGCTTCGCCAGTATTCTGAACAAAATATAAAATTAACCACGTTTTTGACTCCTAAATTCCGTTGGCTTGATCACAAATAATAATTAAATAATTTTCTATTAAATGATTAGGAAATATTTTTTTTTTTTGAGGGCTACAGCAAAACATTTATGTATGTATGTATGCGATACACGTGCCATTAATTATACTGGTATACAGTTAGATAACTTAAATTTTTTGATTAAAAATCGATAGTAATTTCCGAATATGGGATAACTTTCTACCATAAAAGTTATGTATGTATGAATGTAAATATACATTCGCCAGTTATTTCCAAATGTCAAAAAAATTGTTTGCTTGCTCAGAAATTCGTGCAGTCTTTAACAGGGTTTGAGACATAAGATAGTTAATCCTCACAAGAAATATTTACGCGAGAGATAACTATGTACATATAACCTCAAATCGTTTATGTAGAACTTCCATCGTCGCGCCCGTTGTAGGGCCATCCCTGCTGGAACACGTTTGATGCTTAAAAAATATCAATTTTCAAATCAAATATTTGAATATGGAAAATACTTACAAATTTTGATTTTGAATACGAATTTACAATTTACCCTTCGACAGATGCCATTATATGCATCCATTATCTGAACGAAATGTTCGTAGATTGGCACAATTTAAATTCAAGTTTCTATTTTCTTACTACTGACTCTATTTCCCGTAGCTAGTCGTATGGAAGAGGCGAAACGCCAGAAAAGCAAAGCAAGGAAATCTAAGTTCGGTCGAAGCCGAACCTTATATACACGACGCATTTATTAAATCGTTTTCTTTTTCTCTTTGTATGATAAGTAGGGGTATTTTTCTTCGATCGCAAACAGTTTCGATAATATGCTCAGTTAAACTTAATGATATGAAACAATTGAAGCAAGTTTGGTCGACGTTTGTATGTAGCCAAAGTGGGAGGTGCCACGCCCATTTTTCCAAAGATGCTAAGAAATTACTGCAAATATCGCTTTTTAGTGAATTAACTTCAATAGTTGCTGATTGATCGCGGTTTTAGTATACGGCAAAGTACTGTTACATAGGAAGTAGGCGAGATTACTGTCTGATTTTGCCCATTTCAATATCATCTATCCTAACCAGTACCAAGCTTCGTAATATATTTCCATTTTTACTAGAGTACGGGCGTACGGACAGACAAACATGACTTAGTAGAATTCAGTTCTCATTCTGACCATTTCGGCATATATACATATCTCTACCCCTTGGCCCTATAAACAGCCCTTTGCGAACAAAGTTATCATACCCTCGGCACAAGCACTGACTGCTCAGATAGACCTTACCAACTGACTGACCAAAAAATGTTTTCTTTACTGAGAAACGTTCGGCCACCTCTCCTGGTAAATGGAAAGTGTATCCCGTCCTTTTCAGTATCAGAATAGCAATATAAAACACAGGCCCCTATTGGTATATGTAACTTAGTGAGGGACATCGGCAGAGAAGATGCTCCAAGGTTTCCCTGGTCTCCCGCTAACGACAGTTGCCCAACCTGTCTACGCTAGTGACTCCCATTTTTAGTGCATGAGCAGCCACCAGGACGTTTATGGATGAAATACTACATGAGGTAACTGCCTTAATTGCCGCCTAACTATCCACGTATAGGTGTACTTTTGAATTGATTGTCGTTTCGATGTAGGCTAGCTCTGCTGCTGTCCTGAATACGAAAACCTGTGCTTGAAATATGCTGCAATGGTCAGGTAACTGTTACCATTTTAGAGCCGTCTGCGAAAAAGTTCAGGGAAAGCCAAGATAGCTAATTCACAGCTTTCAGAAAGCTGCAAAGTAGATGTTCTCCTGTGCTTTAGAGTTACTTTCGTTTAATCCCATGCAGTTTTTATTCTTCACTATTATCTTGAGATCCAGCCTTGAGAATGTTAATGGGATTTTCTCTAAAAGAGCGAAGCATGGACGTTGGTTTTCGTGCAAGATGTTGACGTTTCATACCGGTATTTCGGATTCGATGGCACTCAGGGCTAATTCCATACTTAGAAAATGGAGGAATGGTAAGTTTCTCGGTCCAAATCGCCAAATAAGAAAAAATACTATATTTGCTTAAAATTCTGAAGGTCCGTCGATATTCTGATGACTCTTGCTTCTGGATATTCTAAAATTCATAAGGAATCTCTCAAGTATCTATTTGGTTCATAAAGATAAGTATGCTTTTTAGTTACATTAGTACACTTGGGCATCGGTACTTAAACGGCAAAATTTTTTTTTGATTTATTTATTCATTCTACCAAAGCGGTATTTACCCGCAACTTTCTACTCCAGCTTCTTTTCGGTTGATCTTCTCCTTTGTGACTTGGCTTGTCAGCAGCAGAATTTTTATGCCAGTATTTGTCGAGCAAACAAACAAGAAAAGAAACCTCAAAAAATGCGAGATAATAAGTTCAGACAAAACCTATCGACATCAACAAAACCAACAACTAACTGCTACACAGCACATACTTTTCACTTTGACTAAATTTTCGAGAAAAAGTTAGTAGTAGTGGCCACCAGCAGTAAGGTTTGAGGAAAACGAACGACACAAATGCAAAAGGCTGAGGCTGAGGCTGAGGCTGTGTAAAAAAGTAAATCGTGCGAATTAAGAAAGGTGGAGAGCAGCAAGCAGCAATCCAGTACAGTAAAGCAAAGCAAAGCGAATTAAAGCAAGGCCAAAAAATGTCGAA